TTTCTGTCATTCAGCTGGAAAAACAATAACTCCAGGTCCCCCTCCAAAAAGTCCCCCCATAGGTAATAATAGAACCCAAATAATTTTGGAATCCCAGAAAATCCAGACCTGAATCTCAGAATGGTACTGGGGGTCCTGAAAACCATTGAGACCAATATTTATGCCCTTCCCAAAATTTAAATCCCCAAAATATTATGTTTCCAGGTACATATCTCTAGAGAGTCTGCACAGATCTGAAGGCTCTGTAAAGCTGAGCTTTACAGAAGAGCCTGGCAGCCCTTGAATGAAGGCTGTAGTTAGCTTCTATTTATTTGTATTTCTCTTGATATGGTGTTGTATTTGTTTTTAAATTTGATGCAAGCTGCTTTGAATTCCATTGAACATGAGGACAGCTGGACATAAAAAAGCTTTTAAAATTAATTAAATAAATTCCTCTCCAAGAATAATGTTTTAAAGGTTCAGGAGCTGTGTACATTTTTTTGGATAATATTCTTCCCTGGGATTTTACAAAGTGTAAGAATAACCCCATATATACCATTCTTTACTCAGCTGCCTGGATGGAAAGCAAACACAATGCCTATAGAGATAAACCAAATTTTAACACCATTAACAGCCTGATCTTAATCATGTTTTCTTGTGAAAAAAGTACCACTGAGTTTATTTAGAAGTTGCTTTACAAGCTTATCTGCAAGTATGTGTGCACAGACTGCAGCCCAAATAACGCATTATTAAGAATATATGATATATAACTTACATATGTTTCCATATGTCCTATATCCTTCCCTGATATTTTGTGTAAACATACCATAACCTCACATGATCTGGACACTATACTTCTGTTATTACAGCCCAAAATGGCATTTGACTTTTTAGCTATCGCATTACACTGCTGACTGATGTTCAGTGTATAGTCTATTATGACCTCTAGGTCCTTTTTGCACATGTTACTGCCAAGACAAGTCTCCCCCCACCTATAATTATGCATTTGATTTTTCCTACCTAAATGCAGAACTTTACATTTATACCTATTGAAATTCATTTTATCTGTTTAGCCCAGTTTTCCAGCTTGTCAAGATCATCCTGTATCCTGACTCTGTTTTCTACCATATTTACTACCACTCCCAATTTAGTATCATCTGCAAATTTAATAAGCTTTCCCTCTATTCCTTTATCCAAATCATTGATAAAAATGTTGAACAAAACAGGTCCTTGAGGCACTCGTCACTCCTCTCCATGAGGAACCATTAACAAGCACTCTTTGGGTGCGATCTGTCAACCAGTTACAGATCCACCTAACAGTCACAGGATCCAAACCATATTTTACCAACTTGTCAACAAGAATATTATGTGGAACCTTATCAAAAGCCTTGCTTGAAATCAAGATAAACTACATCTACAGTATTCCCCTGATCCAGCAAGGTAGTAACTTTCTCAAAGAAAGAGATAAGGTTAGTCTGACATGACTTGTTCTTGAGAAACCCATGCTGGCTCTTAGTAATCACAGTTATAGAAACAACCAGGGAAACGTTTTGTATATAATGCAATAGATACTATATTGAATTTTTATACAAAGTGTAAATTAATTTTTAAAGTGCTTAATTCATAAAATACCACCTATTAATTCATACATAAGAATCTCAATATTATAAACAGATTACAGTACATTAAGAGAATCACAATACATCAATATATTAACGAAGCTTCCGGCTTGAGTCTTCTTTTCTTCTTGAGAAACCTATGCTGGCTCTTAGTAATCACAGCCATCCTTTCTAAACGCTCAAGGACTGACTGATTGATGATTTGTTCTAAAATTTTCCTAGGTATAGATATCAAGCTGATGGGTTGGTAGTTCCCTGGATCCTCCTTTTTCTCCCTCTTGAAGATGGGAACAATATTTGCCTGCCTCCAATATTCTGGCACCTCACCTGTTCTCCAAGAATTCTTAAAAATAATGGACAGAGGCTCAAAAATTACATCTGCGGTTCTTTTAGTACCCTTGGATGAAGTTCATCTGGCTCCGAGGATTTCATTTCATTTAAAGAAACTAGGTGTCTATGTACTACCCCATGCTGATTCTAGGCTGCAACTCTCTTCCCTCATCATGTGTTCTGTTTTTGCCATGTTGAACACTGTTTCCCTCACAAGAGGAGATTGAGGAAAAGTAGGAAATGAGCAGTTCTGCCCTCTCTTCATCACCTGTTACAATTTTACTTTCTTGTCCCTGCAATGGGCCTACCATGTTCTTGCTCTTTTTCTTACTTTGAACACAAGAAAAGTACCCTTTTCTGTTGTTTTTAGCATCTCTTGCTAGCCTAAGCTCATATTGAGATTTAGCTTTCCTAACTCTCTCTCTACAAGCACTGGTTATATGTTTATATTCTTCCTTGGTTATAAGGCCCTCCTTCCACTTTCTAAATGAGTCTTTTTTATTTCTCAAGTCTTTAGAAAGCTGTTCATGGAGCCACCTTGGCTTCTTTAGGCTCCTCCCATTTTTATTTTTCATAGGAATCATTTGTGATTGTGCCTTCAGTATTTTACTTTTAAGAAACTTCCACCCCTCTTGAACTCCCTTCTCCTTAAGTATTTCTGACCATGGGATTCTACCCAGCATAACTTTAAGTTTGTCAAAATTTGCTTTCCTGAGGTCCAACCTATATGTTTGACTACATACAGCTTTTCCCTTCCCCAAGACTGTAAATTCCAAAATTACATGGTCACTACTACCCAGGGTGCCCACTACTTTCACATCGTCAACCAGTTCTTCCCTGTTGGTAATAATCAAGTCCAAGATAGCAGATCCCCTTGTTTCCCTATCCACTTTCTGGAAAATGAAGTTGTCAGCAAGACAAGTCAGGAATTTATTGGACCTTTCATTTTTAGCAGAGTTGGACTTCTAACAGATATGCAGGTAACTGAAATCTCCCATGACCACTGTGTCCTTTGAGAACTTTGTAATCTGTTCTAGGAGTGTCTCATCCAAGTTCTCTGCCTGGCTTGGTAGTCTATAGCAGACCCCCACCATAATATCACTATTATTTTTTACTCCTTTTATTTTTACCCAGAGACTCTCAACGGGACTTCCATGCTCAGATTCATGTATTTCCTCACAAGTCTGTCCCTTTTAAATAAGTTGTACCCCTCAGTCCTAATATTCCCGTTGTGAGTGTCATCCCACCAAGTTTCGGTAATGCCTATTAGATCATAGTCCCCTTCCTGTATTAGGACACCAATTTTCTCCTGCTTGTTTCCCATACTCTGTGCATTAGTGTAGAGAAATCAGGATCCATGTTTTATGCACCCTGAGGTTTTCGTTTCTATACTTACCTGCAAGTTAATGTTACCTATCATATGTGCTACTCCCCACAAAACTTTAGCATTCTTATTTCCAGTTACTGGCATCATACTAGGCTTTGCATTTTTTCTTACTCCCCCATAGGATTTAGTTTTAAATGCTCTGTATTAGGTTTGCAAGGCATTTTTTCCTATCCTCATGAGATGCAAACCATTTCCCAATAGAAGAGCTTCATCTCAAAAGTGTAAACCATGGTCCAAAAATCCAAACCTTTCCTGATGACACCATCTACATAGCCAGTCATTTATTTGCAGTATTCTTCTTTCCCTTCCTAAGCCACGGCCTTTGACAGGAAGAACTGATGAAAATACAACCTGCGCTCCCAATTCCTTCACCTTTTTACTCAGAGCCACATAGTCTCTTTAATACATTCTGGGCTGTGTTGGGCAGTATCATTTGTTCCCACATAGATGAGGAAGAAGGGATAATAATCCATGGGCTCGATGAGTCATCCTACCCTTTCTGTCACATCCTGGATGCATGCACCTGGTAGACAGCATAGCTTTTGAGACAAGTCCAGTCGGCTCACTTTAGCCTCTACCCCTCTCAGTAGGGAATTCTCAATTACCAACACACCTTCTCCTATACTGGGGAGCAGAAGCTTGAGTCCTCTCATCCACGGGTGTCTGAGAAATTTCCTTCAAGCTTCATGGAGGCTGGGGGAGGAGCCCTTGTTCCAGTGGTTCAGAATTAATATCTATGGGGAGATCCTAGAACTGACTGCTTAGTAACAGAGGCTCAGAATGTCTCTTGATTTTCCTTCTCTTGTGGGTTACCTTCTTTCATGAGCCCTCCTCCTCTGTTAGGTGCTTCTCCACTTGCTGAGATACCTTTCCCTCCTCCTGCTGTTGCCCTCTCAGGAGTGCTTCATGTGTTCTATCCATGAAATTTTCACCTTCCCTTATAAACTGGACTGCAGACAAGTGTGCCTCAGGTCCCTGTATCTTCTCCTCCAGTAGAGCTACCAACTTATACTTGCTGCAAGTGTAATTGATGTTACCCTCAGGTAAGAATGCAAACATGCCACAGAATTTGCATGTCGCTGCTTTAGCTCCCTCATCAGCCATGCTGCTGCAATCCATTTCAAAATTAGTTCCTTAATAAGTTCCCTGCCAAACTGCCTCTCAAGACTACTTGTGAAAGGATTTTGTTGTTGTTGTTCAGTCGTACAGTCGAGTCCGACTCTTCATGACCCCATGGACCACATCACGCCAGGCCCTCCTGTCTTCTGTCGTGCTCCAAAGTTTGCTTAATGTGAAAGGACTGTAGAAGCAAAAACCCTTAACAAATATAGGATGCAAGATCTACTCAACTTCCTACAGGGCCCCCAGGCAAAGAGCCACAGGGCAAGAGCCCTTTGGCTTGCACCCAAGGCTCGTACCTCTGGTGAGGAGGAGCCTTACACAATTGAAGGCTCATCCAGGACAGGGCAGGGTCAGCAGTCAGCCCCAGGCAAAACTGCTAAAACCTACAATCAGTTACACCCAGGAAAAAGAGACAAACAGAAACCACACTTCCTCAAACAGGCACCACTCTCCAACAGGATATACACACCCACACACCCTCAAACACTGTCCTCCCACACAGTAATCTCAGGTAATTCTTCTCGGCAGTTAAGGAAAGGCAAATAATAAAACACTCACCACTCCAGCAGCAGCTCCCTCTCCTGCCACTTCTCAGAGCCCAGCTCTGGGAATGATGAGGTTAGGCTTAGTTTAGGACAGGCAAGACAACTATTTCATATCTATTTTAAGTTCCCATATCATCACTTATCAAATATAATCTCTGTGTAGTTCATATTTACATTATATATCTTTGTGGTGCTTCTCAAAGCGCTCCCAAAGAGCTCTTCCTATGTTTCCTGGTATTTTCTGATGTTTGTCCCGTAAAGCTTCTATTGCCATTTTTGTCTGTTGGGACACGGGGAAAATATGAGTCAGTTTCCAGACATGTAGGATAGAGTCAAAAAGTCCCTAGAATCAATCAGGGCCATGCCATAAATGCCCTATACTTTTCCCCTTGCACACACATGCAGTGATAGGTACAATTCTATCTGTGCTTCTGTGACGGGTCAGTGCATCTTTCAAAGTCCCAGGGCCCTTGCTAGACCAAGGATGCTGGCTCTGACCTCTTGAAAATGGGTCTTTTTCCAGCCGTCTCTTCTGGGCCAAGACAATTATATGATAGGGTATGGGCCAGATAGAATACTGACTAGCTAAGCTGTTGGTGTGCTGTCATCAGCAATATTTTTAATAGTATACAAAGTAACAAATTGTACAAAAAGTTGTAAAAGAGCATTGTTTTTACTGCTTTATATCATGTATACTGTTCATTACAAATAATTCCTGAGATAAATATCACCCCCCCCCCCAATCTCTCGATAAAGACTGAGCGTGGTCATTACCCTTCAGGTGGCACAGAATTTTTAGAACAATTGGGCACTTAATAGTATCCTGGAGGGCATGAGTTGTGTATGAGTAACTCACATAGTCCAAATCCTAGAAGCCAACCCTGTAAGACAATGGAACTATAGCACTATTTTGTCGAGGTTTAGGACTCAGGAACTCATTAATCTAAATCCTGCTCTCATCCTCCCATGAGTCTTTGTGGATCCCCCACTTCTCTATATTGGGAGTGACTGACAAGGAATTTGATGGTAGCATTATCCTTTAGCACTGAAATTCTTACAACATGTGCATTAAAAAAAATCCACACTTCTCTAAGTTCCTCCAGTGGTGGAAAAAAGCACAATTAATTTTCTATGGAGAAGAAGCAGGGGTTAGGTGTAAGGTTCCACAGCCAAACAATTGCCCTCAGGGGCAAAATGTCATGTGGGCCTACAATGCTGTAAGGAAAGGAAATCAGGCAAAACCAACCTTATCCTAGCATCTTGGGATCCTAAAAACTAGGCTACGCACAACCACACAGGAACTCTACCTCTCCTGTTTGCCTAGTGTATTCTTCTCTCCCCCCAACACTAAAGTCAAAAGTTGCTTTCATGCTCTCCCTCATCAGAAGGTGACATGCCAGCCCTTTTGACACACTACATACAAGTATAATGGGTGCCCAGCAATTAGGGTTGCTAACCTCCAGGTGGGGGCTGGAGATCTCCTGCTATTACAGCTACACCTGGAGAAAATGGCTACTTTGGAAGGTGTATTATACCCCATTGAAGTCTCTCCTCTCCCCAAACCCCACCCTCCTCAGGCTCCACCCCCAAAATCTCCAGGTATTTTCCAACCCAGAGCTGACAACCCTCACAGCAGTGCACAGACTGTTCCTCATATGCACGGTCACCATGTTGTCCTGCTTTGCATGCATGTATAGCTTCGGTATGCATGAACCAAAACGTATGTTTGAGCATACCAAAGCTGTATGAGCATGCAAAACACCCATGTTTCCTCCTGCTCAGGCAAGATGGTAAATGTGTGTATTGGGAGGATTTACATGCAGTTGGCAGCCTCCCAATATATGTGGGTGTAACATCAGAAAAGGGCCCTTTATTCCAGATATATCCGTAAGTCTTCACATCTACATTCCAGTTCAAAGTGGCTTACACAGTCATTAATGAAAATATAAATAAATATAAAAATATAAAATATAAATCAAAATACTAATGAGAAAGTTATCTAAACACAGCAAATTATTTTTAGGAAATACTGGATACGACAGCACCTTTTTAGTAAAGTGTCTAATTGCTGGTGCTGTAACTTACAAGTTGTGTCTCTTAAACATATGCTTTGCGCCTGTCCAGTTAATTTGGTCTTTTAGGGAGTAACCAATCACTCAAATCAATTTTGGATTAGAATATTCATTAATCTTTGAGGACGCTTAAGTACTTATGAATTATTGCCTGTCTCGTGGAGACTGATGAAAAAAAATGGACACCCCCATGCCCTTACTTTTGCGAAAAGACGTATATTACAACACTGGAATAGCCACCTCCAGTAATCCAATGGATTGAGGAATTTATAACTTCATCCACATTTGAATGTATGGCATCTAGATGACAACTGCACATAGACATGTTTTTAAATATTTGGAAACCTTTTATAGATGTAGACTGGCCACCATTGTTATTACATTGGGTTATATTTTTTATTTCTTTCTGTCTTGCTGTTGCTGTCAAGTCACAGCTGACTTGTGGTGAGCCTGCAGGGGTTTCAAGGTAAGAGACATTCAGAAGTGGTTTGCCATTGCCTGCCTCTGCATCATGACCCTGGTAGTCCTTGGTGATCTCCCATCAAAATACTAGCAAGGGCCGATCCTGCTTAGCTTCCAAGATCTGACAAAACCAGGGCTGTTAAAGGTAATTACATTTTAATTTATTTTTTTTAAAATCTAAACATAATGCTACCTTTGCAGTATGAGCTCTGAGCTTTGAAGGCAGCACCTAGAGTCTCCTCTACCAGCCCTGTCATCTTATTAAGCACTTGTTCAGCTGACACCAAGTACTAATACATGTATATCATTCTTTATATGGTCCCAGCCTCAGAGAATGCTCAACAATCTGAACAAACTGTGTGGCAAAGATCACCTTGCCTTTTGGATACTTACCACCTACGCACCTTGGACGATGTTACCTGCCTTTGTTCTTCCGACTTTTGGTTGCAGAAGCCTTGTCTGCCCTTGCTCATTCTCTTGCCTCTAGCCCCAGTGGATTGACAGCTGGCTCCTTCTAACCCCTCTAACCTAATTGCTTGGATATGATCATGACACACATTCATTCCAGTCCAAAATTACTAAGCAATGCACATTTTAAGAAACTGGGTGGGATTGATAGGAAATTCGATGGTAGCATTCATATTTGGCATTGAAATAGTTACTTTTTCAGCCAGTTCTTCAGCGGTTATACTTGGATCATAAAGAATGGGTTCTCCAATATAGGTCCGAAGCTTGACAGGAATGAACCCATATGATGGAAAGAATAAAATTCGTGTTCGTTCATAAAGCCATCTCATTGGCCCTGTAATATGAAAACAAGATAAGATTAGGATAACAATGATATGTTGAAGACACATTCATTTTGTAAAAAATTGTCTCAGACCTTGAAATGAAATATTTGCTAGGAGCCAACAGAGGCAGAATAGGCATCTGGTAGCTTGCTTCTTTCGCCTCCAGTTGAATAATGAACATTTTAAAATGGAGAAACAAGAGGAGCAAACTACCAGAGGCATATCTGACATTTGAAAAGTCATAAGCACCTTGAGTGGGTTAATATGTGTTACCACAGCATAGTGTCTTTGTCAGAGTGTCCGGCTAGGTTCTAGGAAAACCAGGTTTGAATTCCCAGTCTTCCATAGAAGTTAGCTGGGTGATCTTGGCTCAGCCTCTTTCCAGCTATCTTACAAGGTCATTTGTGAGGATGAAATGAAGAAGGGGAGAACAATGTTCAAAGCTATTTTGAGTCCCCAGCCTGGAGAAAAGTGGGGTATAAATATCTAAATGAGTAAATACATGTATATCTAAACTGTAATCTAAAAGCTGTAGAATATAGATATCATACCAGACCATGCACAGCCAGTCATTCTTTACAGGCTTATTTCTGAAAATTATTCCACCAAATTTCAGTGGGTAAAATGTCTTGGCTAAGACTAGTTTAGAATTTTCTATATAATAACAACCCGAATGAGTTATGAAAAAAGAGGCACATCTCCAGGTTTACAAGAACCTCAAAGTTGCTATTTTATTGCAAAGGAATTTCAGAAACAGACTGGAACAGGAGATTGCTGAATTACAAGTTATTACAACACTCACGACAATGGAACCTCCAGAGCTTAACAGAGATATCATCTTCTTATCTCACTACACATGCTAAGTCACTCAGCTCTCACATACCCAGAAATTAAACTTTGTAGGTTTACAGGTGCTCCTGGGCTCAGACTTCGTTCTCACATACTCCTGTATGCCAAATTGCTGCTATTTGAATTTTGTTAGTCTTGAAGGTGCCACTGGACTCAAAACTTCATTCTCATATCTCTTTCTTAACTCTTGTATTTATACGCTAATTTACTGCCATTCACAGATTTTAACAACTGCCTTAATCCAGTATCAGCTATAATCACCCAGTTACTTATGCATATTGATTCTAACTAGCTCCTCTTGGCAACTAACCCCACCTCTCTTTCCTATATGTAATGGTTGAGGAAATTCTTTTTCACTGTATCTGAAGAAATGTGCTTGTTGGTCTTAAAGGTGCCACTGGACTCAAAAAGAGCCTTATGTGTTTATCTCAAGTCTCTGAAATGTCTGCAGTATGTTATAAAGCAGTTGATATCAGCTAACTTCACAGAACATCTCAGTGCAAAACGAAGTTTCCTGCTGGGGGTGGGTGATTCCTTGCTTCTGTTTCTCGCAGCTGCTTTTGTGGACGGTGGGGATAAAATATCGGAATAAAAAACACATCGGCAATAGTGTCATGTCAGTTCTGGGGAAAACCCAGAAGTGACATCAGTTGTCTCTATGAATCACCACAGACTTTATGGTTTTCCCTGGGAGTGACATCTCACTGTCACCAATGACATCCACCCATGTCCTCCCCCAGACTCCTGCCAGTTGCCAGCCAGTGCCTGGCAATATGTTTTCTTGTGAAGAAGCCCCACTGAATTCAATAGAGAGTACCTTCAATAAAGTGTGCACAGATTGTAGCCTAAATAGCACATTATTAAGTATATATGACATATAACTTACAAATATTTCCATATGATCTGTATCCTTCCTGAATGTTTTGTGTAAACATAGGTATGATTGGCTAAAAAAGATGAAATAAATGAAATAATGAAAATTGTACTCCAGGTTGTGCAGATTAGTGAAATGCAATGTTTGCATGTTTGAAAGAAAACCCTTAATAGCAAATTGTATTATATTAACAAATTGTTTGCTGAGCCACTGAGAAGGTAGTGTGAAGGGTAGTTAGGGACGGTAAATGGGGCTAGGTTTATTGCTGAAGATGCAACATGGAATCCTCTCATTTGCCTTTGGCCTAGGCAACTAAGAGTCAGATTATGTTTTTCTGAAGTACACATTTGTCCCAGTGGGTTTATGTTGCTGATTCACGCCCCTGAACCAATTACAATCCTGAACTCCCAATGTAAGCAGCAGGGGTCATTTCGGGGGGGGGGGAATGCGGGGGATCACAGTTCCCCTGGGTGAGGTACGGGGGGCAGGGAACATGATGAAGCCCCGCCCCGCTTCCGGCCCTCATTCAGCCAGGAGGAGGCAGGAGAAGAGGGAGGGTAAGTTGCTTCCTCCCTGCCTCTCCCCACCCCTGCCTGCCTGGGGCCAGGGAGGGCCTTCGCGGGGCTTCCTTGCACTCCCGCCGGCCTTGCAGGTCCACCGCCGGGCCCCTCATGATGTCAGGGGGTGTGGCATATGCTAATGAGTTATGCTAATGAGTCCCCCTGGCTCTTTTTCTATGAAATGACCCCTGATAAGCAGTATTTTGAAACTGGTATTACTTCTGGGTCTGCAGTGCTACTTAAATGTGAATTTACCTCGTCTCAAAACCATTCCAGCTTGAAACCAAGATACCTAGGACTTTGAAACAAGCAGGGAACATCTAATTCCAAATTCCTCCACAGACAACTGTGTGTAGTCCTCTAACTGGCCAACATATTTTTGAAAAAAATCTTCAGATTAGGGTTGCCAGGTCTGGGTTGGAAAATACCTGGGGACTTTGGGGGTGGGGCCAGGAGAGGGCGGGGTTTGGGGAGGGGCCTCAGCATAGTACAATGCCATAGAGTCCACCCTTCAAAGCAGCCATTTTTTCCAGGGAAGCTGATCTCTGTCAGCTGGAGATCAGCTGTAAAAGCAGGAGATCCCCAGTCTTTGGAGACTTTTGTGGCATAATATATCACGGTTGTTTGTTTCCTTTTCCACTCCCCCATCTGGAGGCTGGCAACCCTACTCCAGATACAATTTTATTAAAATAATTAAAACATAGTTCAAACAAACAAGAAGAGAGGCCCAGTCTTGCTGTAGGTAATTAAAATGCAATGGCTGAAAGTAGGATGTGTCACCGTAATTCATATTCAGCATTGTTCTGACTACTGCAGTCTGTTGCATACCTATAGTTAATACCGTTACTCTGACTGACCAGACAGAGAGAAATGGTTTTCATAATAAGAAATGTATTACCCTTCAGTCCTGAAAACAATTGAGTGCTTCATTTAACTCCTGAATTCAAGAAAAGCCACATGGTGCTTTCAGGACTGAAGACAATGGGGAACATGCTGATTCCTTGGCCCTGAACCCATCAGGGGAATTGGGTAAGGAGACTCTAAAGAGCCCCCACATCAGATCCAGAGAGATAGCAGGATGCTGTGCTAACTTTTTGTAATGTATTGTTACTCTGGGTTCGCCATATGATGAAGTGCTGGAATTCTGTCTCTTGGCAAGATCCTTTTCATTTTCCAGTTCCTGTTCAGTTTGGCTCTGCCTAGCAGTTAATTCAGTTCAATATTTCCTGGTAAAGTACCTTTAGAGTTACAATAAAGTTATCTTTTGGCTATATAATTTTTGTGTCACCTCTGTGACACATAACACTGATAAGGAGGATTAGATCTTTCTGAAGCATGAGATGTTCTTTTTTCTGCACACTCGACTTACTCCTGATTTTCTTGACAGTCGATCCACAAACATTGGAATCAGTTTGAGCATGGTTCTTCCACACCTCTGCCCACCCCCTGCATTTTCCCAGTTCTGGACTCAGTTTATTTTCTTCCACACATGCCTTCAATAAAAGGATTTTCAAGGGTGGGTGCTGTCATCATCGGTGGTATCACAGCACACCCTTTTTAAAAAGGCACTAAAATATCAATATATCACTAGAGTGTAACAGTAGGGTTAGCCAGTTTTCTGAATTCCCGGTTTTCATTTTTTTTTAAAGGAAGTCTCTATATCCTTTCGTCATGGAGATATAAGGAAAAAGTAATGTTTCCATGATATATCTCTAGCAATATATTGATATTTTAGTGTCATTTAAAAAAAAATAAAATGAAACCACTCATCTTCAGAGGGGGGAGGAGGGTATATTTTGACCATAAGAGTCCAATCATTAAAAAGTGGGCCAGAGGTGGGTGGGAGAGGCTGGGACAAAGAGAACCAACAGAAATGTTATGGACATGGAAAAAGCCAACTCAAAATTGGCCTCTAGAAAAAGATGGGGGCAAAAGTAGTTTCAAAAGAACTGGAAAACCTCCGGAGAAAAAACAAAACAAAACAAGAAGAGAAAACGAAAGACTTAAAAATCTGAGCTGAAATCAGGGGATAAACTGAAGTAGTACAGGGCCAGAACCAATGAAAAAAACATACACGAAAAAGCCCATAATAGACTACTTCAGGCTGGCATCCTGCTGAGCTGTTAATGAACAAGAGGCTTACAAATCTGTTGAATATTATATATCCTAACCTGACTGTGGATCAACCTAAGAATGCTGGTGTGACCCTATGGCAGGTGGGGCAAAGGGGTTCCTGCATTTATTTGCCTCAGATGACCTTGTCAGTGTCAGGAACAAGGAATGCAGTTCAGTGCAGATCCCTGCCATTGTTACTCAAATCACAGGGCTACTACCCTACTGGACTACCAGAAAAGCCAAGTTCCAAGTTTGCAATATAAGAAGGAACAAAGTGACAGTCATGGAGAAATCACTCACCACTTTTGCATCTATGGCTACTTGAGCAAAGCCTTTACGCTTCCCCCAGACTAGTCTGTAAGTGTTATCTCCATAGTTTTGTTCTCGAAGTCCACCTGGTGCAATGCTTATCAAATGGCCTTTCTTTAGCATTTCAACACATTCTTCCTTTGTTCTACAAACGCCACAGGTCCTTTCAAGTGTAGTTAAACCTGCAAACATGGGACCAAAAGAAAAATGGCAAATGATCACTGTGTGTTTATTGTACCTTTACTTTTAAAGAGAGATTTATGGAGCAGGTCAATGCATGTTATGCACATGTCTTCCCTTTTTGTTTTAATTAATTGGTGAGGCCTTTGCAGGAAAGTATCAGCATATGCATTACCCCATTTTCCTCTTGATTAGTTCTTCGTTTCTCTGACAGGTTTTCCTCACAACACTCCCCCCCCAATCTTGAGTTCCAGAAGGTAAATTACTCCAGTTTGGGGAGAACTATTTTCGATAGGGGACTGTCACCAAGGGTTTGGTTTAAGCAACCACCTCCCATTGAATGTCTTCAAATCTACCCTTTCAGTAATGTTACACATAGGGTTGTGCAGTGTTTTACATTTGGGTGTTTCTTTTAAAAATATATTCATTTTTGTTTCAAGGTTTGAAATGAGCAAAACCTTTGAAGGTTTGAAATAAGTAAAATCTTCACTCTGAGTTTTAAAAGTTTTTTTCCCCCTCTCTGGGCAGAGAACAAGCAGGAAGGAGGATAGTCAATTCAATTACTTTCCAGGCTTACCTCAGTCCACCTACATACAAATGCTAATAGATCTAGCTAGAGACAATTGGATGGTCCAGTCCCCCCCCAGCAGGAAACAGAGACTGGGAGGACTTGAAGACTAGAGAGACTTCAGGAAAGAACTCCTGGAGATCTCCAGGAAAAGCCTCTTTGATCCAGCCTGACCTGGTCACTAGGAGGGAAAAGGGAGAAGATAAAATTCAAAGGAGCAAGGAAGAAGTTGCTGGGTCCATTAGAGCAGGCAGATATCTTTACTGAGGTCTGGAGGAAGCAGCTATTTTAATCATGTGCTGTCCAGAAGAGCTGGGAGAAAACTGCAAGGTAATGAAACTCTGTAGAGATCTGGCGCTGTGCTAAAAGAATGCTTGTGAATATTTTCTTTTAAATAAATACTTTACATTTTTGATGATGATAGTGGTTCTCTGTACCACATAGACTTCCACCATTTCTGACATGCTATTTTAAAAGGAGCACCAGGGGGGAGACAGTCACTTGGCAAGTGGCTATTCCTCCAAGGGAGCACAAAGGCAGTAAACTGTCCCTGTGGTGACCAGGCGCTGGGCAGAGGAAGACAATGAGGCAAGGCCTCAGAACTTGAAAGGGAAGCTGGGAGCCCTGACCCTCCCAATGAGCAATTCCCACAAAGGTCAGGTGGTGATGGAAAGTTACTAAAGAGAAAAGCTTCTCCAGGAGAAGAGCCCGTTGGAGAGCCAGTTTCGTGTAGTGGTTAAGAGGCAGGGTGAAATAGGGCCCGCAGGCCTGTTCTGTCACAGTTTTCATTTAAAAACATGTCTGATTTTTTTAAAACATAAAATTTTTATTTAAGAGATAAAAAATAGTTCAACAGAAGGAAAGTCATATAACATTACTTATACATATTACAGAGTATGTAGTTGGAAAGAGAAAACAATATATGAAGTCATGGAATCATTTTATACAATATTCTTTGGATGTATTGGACAATAATACAAAAATAAAATAATAAAATATATTGGACTAAATATCAACCTTATATTTCAGGAATATCAAGACTATTAAATAAAGCATATTTTTGATTAATTATACAATAATAGTTTGAATTTAGCCTTTCTAATAGTGTCCCAATCAAATGTATCTATATTGATTTTGTCTAATATAGGGTACCATATCTTTAATGGACCCATCATATCACATTCTGTTTGATTTTCAGTATAATATATATTAAAATTTTCTAACATAAACAATTCACATATCATGTGAACCCATTGTTGAATACTCGGAGGAGATTTGTCTTTCCATTGTTTAGCTATGAGGATTTTCGCCACAGTAAACAAAATGTTTATTAATTGTCTTCTAGATTTAGGAGGACCATCATCTGGCCACAGATTGAGTAATATCAAGATGGGATTTAACAGTAAGTCATAACCTGTAAATTTGCTAAATACCAGCGTAGTAAAACTTTCATGTTTGCCTCATAAATATATAATGATTTTGACATCTTAGCTTGCGTCTTCCAAATTTGGTCCCATTGCTGATCTGTTATTTGTTGTTGTAAGTCTGTCATCCAAGCTAGTTGGTAGCTTAGTCTATAATTTTTTTGAGGATTGAGTAAGATTTGATAGATTTTAGATATAAGTCCACGTTTTTTGTGTCCCTTAAATAGGATCTGTTCAAATGCAGTAAGAGGTAAAGCCAAAGAAGATTTAAAATTTGAGGATTCTACAAGGTGTCGAAGTTGTAAGTATTCGAACCATTTTATCTTGATATTATATTTTCTTTTAAGCTCTGATTTATCTAACATTTGATTTTTTTGTAATATATCTGTTATTCTTGTGATCCCAGCTTGTTTCCATGTAGAAAATTGTGAAGGATCGTTGGCTGGCAGGAACCATGATTGACCACAGAAGATACTTAGTTTGGAAAAAGGTGAAATTAAAATCTTCTTATGTTGATGCCAAATTTTTAATGTAACTCGCAAAAAGGGAGATGGGATTGTAGATTTGAGATTCCTACTTTGTGATTTCCAGAATAGCTTCTGAAATTTGTGTCCTTTAGATGTAACTTCTTCTATCCATTTCCAATCTAACACGATGTCTGTTTTATATTGTCTGATTAATGTCACCAGTATCGATGCTTTATAGTACAGAGATAAATCCGGTGTTGCTAAACCTCCATTTCGTTGGGCTCTTCTCATAGTTTCAAATTTTACTCGTGGTGACTTAAATTTCCATATGAATTTATTAATATCTTTCTGCCATTTCCTGAGTAGGTTGTTTGGGATATAAATAGGTAAGGTACAAAAAAAATACATATATTTAGGTAGTACATATGTACGTAAAATAGAAATGCGATCCATCCAGGAGAAGGGAATAGTATTCCAGTTTGTCAATTGGGCTTTTATCTCTTTATGTGTGTCTAGATAGTTCAGCTTGATAAGATCAGACCAATTGACTGGTATTTTGACTCCTAAATAAAGAAAATATTTATCAATCCACTGATATTTATATTTGGCTATAATATCAGCCTTAACCTCAGCTGATATATTAATTGGGTAAAGTAAAGACTTTGATGAGTTTATTTTAAGTCCTGCTAAGTGTCCAAAAATGTCCAGAGTAGATTGAATTGCTTTCAACGATTTACAGGGTGATGACACATATAATATAACATCGTCTGCAAATATGCTTAGTTTGAACTCTTTTCCTTGTATTTTAATGCCTTCAAATTTATTATTAGATCTGAGCGCACAGGCTAGAGGCTCCATAGCAAGTATGAATAAAAGGGGTGATAATGGGCACCCCTGTCTTGTGCCACGTTGAAGAGAAATATGATTTGAGGCTGCGCCATTAGCTAAAATGCTAGTTTTAGGACCTTCATATATTGCTTGGATTGAAGTACAAAAGAGAGGACCAAAATTTAAATGATGTAGTAAAATTTGCAAGTATGATGTTTCCAAAGAATCAAAGGCTTTTTGTATGTCTATAGAAAATAATAATGAATTGTGCAGTTTGTTATGGTTGCCATAATGTATAATGTTAAGGGTTTTCCTAATATTATCAGAAATGTCCCTTGTAGAGATAAATCCGGTTTGATCCATATTTATATAGTGACCAATGATGTTTTTAAGTCTTGCTGCTATCATTCCTTTTTTTAAAAAAAAACCCCGAAGTGGAATTATTTATTTGCATTTCTATAAAACTATGACAGAAATTGGGGAGGAAGAGTTTACAATCTATAGGAAAAAGTAAAAAGAACCTAACTAAAAACCCAAGAATGCAGGTTTTACAATGCTTAAAACATAGTTGTTATTCTTATACAGTTACTTTCAAACATGAAGAGTGCCCGCCAATCATTGCTTCTGCTGACAAAACCTGCTTATCTGACTGAACAGAGAGTAATTCCAAAGCTATAACACACATAAACACAGCCCTTAAGCAAAAATTAGCATCGCCACGCTTTACTCCCCCCCCCAGGCAAAATCTTTAAAACCAATGTTCCCTCAGTAAGAACATTACAACACGTTTTTCTTCTTCCGTCTTCGATGTATCTTCTTTCTTCAATTATCTTTTAGTTTTTATAAGTCCGGATCTGTCCATTTGTGATATAAACCAAGTTCCTTTTTTCTGGGACATCTTCGCTTCCTTAAACGTCTTA